GCGCTCGGAAGATGGTCCCCGCGGCCGGACAGCTCGCTCTGCTAGCGCTGGGTACGTAGATGACACCCGGTGTCCCCGGGCCCGCTCCAGACTGCTCTCTGTGGTGCTCCGGAGTCCGCTTGGGAGAGGGGGATGTTTGAAGTGGGTGGGAGCGTGCGAGCGACCGGGAATCGCTGAGAACTGTGAAGCGAGGGACAGTCCTAGAGAGGTGGCCGCCCGGCGATGAGATCCGGCTTGAACTTTACTCTACGCGACGTCGGCTCGCCGGTGCCCACGCCCTCCTGCCTACCTGCTTGTCACGGAGTCGGGCTTCTCCGGAGCTGCCTGAGCGCGGGTTGTTTGAGTGCGACCCTCTGGGTGGCCCTGGCTTGAGCCCCTTTTTTTTTCCCCGGGATGGGAGTCCACGTTGCGGGGCGCCCTCCGCCTTCGACTTCAAGCTCTCCTAGGCTTTGGGGTGGGTTTGGGCTTTTTGTGCAGATTAATTGTTCTGTAAATGAGCTTTCCTGGAAGCCATAGTGTCCCTGTCAGAAGAGGCCGAAGTGACACCTGAGCGTGGCCGGTTTCCTCAGAGTTGGTTCTTGGACATAAACGGGGGTGGGGGAGGGGACATTCGTCCCCGCGTGTCTGGGAGGCGGGAGAGCTTTCCCGCGGCGAAGCTCGCAGGTGTGTGCTTCGGTAACCGGTCTGTCCTTGACATGTGTGCTCCCAAGCGCAGTGTGCACTCTCATCCGTCTGGTGCAGGGTCTGTGATGTTTGACAGAGTGGATGGAGGCACCCAGGTGTCCCGGTCATTGCTGCCGCCTTGCGAATCTTTTCTGGTATCTTCAGCATTTAAAAACCCTGTGAAGAGGCTGAGGCTGTAGGTCAGTGGGTAGAGTAGTTGCCTAGCAGGCGCCAAGCCCTGGGAAGGATCCCCAGGTTAGGTTTGTAACCCTAGTGCTTGGAAGGCAGAGGCAGTGGGATCATAAGTTCAATGCCATTCTTATCTACATTGCGAGTTTGAGATCGCTTGAGCTCGTGAGAATCTGGTTCTAATTATTAATAATTAAAGCCCTGTAAAGTAAGATACTTGCTCCGGGGTCAATAGAGCCCAAAGGGAAGTGTGGAACTCCCCTCTTCAAAATATGCACAGAGTTGCAGCCTGTCCCAGCCAAGCTCACAGGTCCCCCTCAATCCTGCCCTGGAAAGTCAAGCCCTGCTCTGAGGCAGGAGGGAACACAACCAGATGTTTCTAGTTGCTCCCTCACCTGAAGCGACAGATAAGGGCAGATTTCTTCACTTTTTGCAAGAACCACCTTTCGGGTGTATGCTAACACCGGTTTTCCCTTCAAATCCATCTATTTAAAGCTGTGAAAGTGGAGGTGTTGGGAAACCGGTAAGTGTTTCCCATCCCCCTCCCAGGCTGCCCAATAGTATTTACTAGCTAGAACACCGTGAGTGTTTGCCTGGGGTTGCCAAGCAGTTCTAATTCCTTCACTCATTTGGCTTGTGCACCCATCTGATGAAAGAAGGAGCCATCCTTGTTCCCATTTTATAGAGGAAGAAAGGACAGGGCAAAGAGCCGCTGTCCTAGGTGGACCAAGAAGTGGAACGTCACCTCACTGTGGTCAGCAGACCAGTCCCATCTCAGGGATTTTGATGTGGCTTTGAGAGATGGTGTAGACATCACTGTTCGGTGTCTTTGTGGTTGAGCTCTAGGATGGCAAGGTTGCTTTTATTCAGTGAGAACGTGAGGCAGAAGCGCCTGCCAGCAGCTGCTGACACTGTGCTCCCCAGCCCGCTAGCACTCAGCATGGAGCGGCACTCACACCCTGATTTTCTCCTTGCCTGGGTGTTCTGTTCGGCGTCCTCACTGCTTCTTTGAGAGAGAGAAAAACAATTATAAACCTAAGATTGACCAGTCTATAAAAGCTGGCTTGTACTGTTCTAGAATGAGTAGTTTAAAAAAAATGCGTGTGAAAGGGAATTAATTTACACCAGTGAGGATTTCTTTTTATTTAATACTCTTTAAAAGAAAAAAAATCACAACCCTTAGGTCTGTGCCTTTATTCAAACGGCTGCCTCCCACGTGTCTTTAATTTGTGGTATTTCCTCTGAAGCTGCTCTTTCTCTGATTTTTCTTAGACAGCTCCAGGCAAATCAGCCAGTATTTCATCAATAAACACGGTCTCGAAAACCCTCGCTTGTCCTGAGAGAGGCCTGATGCTGGTAGAGGCTTAGGCTTATATCCCGACACTGATCCATGTTCTGGGGACAGAGTGTGGGCAGTGTGGCCCAAATGGCAACTTTAGAAACACGATTGAGGTTCCTGGGATAATGTCCACCCCAGGCAGGGTTCTCTTCCTGGGCATGGCACCTCCTTTGTGTCCAGGGAACAAGAGGTTAAGTATAGCCTTTCCGTGCCTTGTTTTTCCTCTCTGTGAAATGGGAATGTTAAGAGGGCTACTGGATAGACTTGATGCCTGCAGACTAATGTCTGGTATGCAGTAAGAGCTTAATTAATCTTAATGCCACCCGTCCCCTTGTTGTTGGTACTCAGAGCGCCAGAGAATTCTAGATGCCGTGACAGGTTACATGGGTTCTGTGACCCACAGGTCACCACCTGAGCTTGCCTCAAGCTCCTCACCCTGTCTCTGCCAGAAAACCTGCCCAAGTGATTTCTAGTCGGTGCCACCTGGCAGACAAACTCAGTAAACTCAGTAAGCCTCGGCATTCTTCTGTACGTTACAAACCAACGAATTTTCCTGGTCAGGCGTCTGTGCCTGCTCTTTAGTACTCAGCCAACAGTTGTTTCCCTTCTGTAGAGTGGGAATAATAAAACCAGCCCGCCTTCCAGGGTGAGATGGTCAACAGATTTACAAACCATAAAACTAATTAGGCTGGAGATGCTGCTCAGTGGTAGAGTCATTTACCTGGCGGCCCAAAGCCCCAGGCTCCACCTCTACCACCGCAGGCTGCACTGGAAACAAAACTGACTCTGTGACAGGGAGGGGCTTTCTAACTCAGAGACAAAGCCTGTTTCTGCCGTGCTTTCCCTAGGTGGACCACAGAGAAGGCTGTCATGGAGGCAAGCGGGGCGGTGACCTTGTTCTGGATTCGTGCTGAGGGTTCATTAGGGAAATGTCTTTCAGGCCTCCACTGTCCACCCTTCACGAGTCCTGAAGACTCATGCCTTCCGAACCGGGCAGTTAGGGTGTGCTCGCTGAAAGCGAGGCCTGGAGAGGGGTAGATAGATGCTGGCAAGGTTGTTGACCCTATTTTCTCTCCCAGCATTTGGTTTCCTCGGGACAAGGTGATCTTTTAAGTAATGTGTCTTGCAAGGGAGACTTTTCTTATAGGAGTAAATGATGCTTTGCACTCTTGTTACTATGGTAACACATGACAAACAGATGACTTTTCCATTGGATGGCTCTCCAAGGACCTTTGCAATATGTGTTTGGAACAAGGCCCCCGTCGCCACACTGCCCTCTAAAGCAGGCAGGCATCAGGTCATCCCACACTGAAAACCTTTCTAGCATCTTCTACAGCAATATGCTTCTGTCAGAACCATCTGGAGGCCTGGGGAGCACAGGTGGAGGGGTTTGCAAGCTCCGCAGGGCCGGATCCTCAGACAGGTGCTGTGGGGACCTTCTGCCTTCACCCACTGCCCTGTGTGTCAAAGCCATCCTCACGATCGTAAGTGTGGTTGGCGACTCACGCGCTGTCATTAAAGCTGCTTCAGCCTATGCTGCTGGCCAGGACAGAGTTGGAACCTTGCTGAGCGTTCCCAGGTCTGCTCTGCCTATGGCCTGTGTTACCGAACATCAGCTTGCCACACTACCCACTTCATGCTTTCTCTTTTTAAATTTTGACTTATTTTTAGCGTCTGAGTGTCGTGCCTGTGTGGACGCCTGAGCACCACATGCACACCGTGCCCGAGGAGGCCACAAGGGTGTCAGATGCCTTGGGACTGGAGTTACAGAGGATTCTGTGCCGCCAGATAGGAGCTGGGAACTGAACCGATTTCCTCTGCAGGAGCGGTCAGTGCTCTTAATCCCTGAGCCACCTTTCCAGCCCCATGCCACACTTGGTTGTTAATTGCAAAAGTGACTTGATATATGGCTTTTTCAAATATTTCTGATCATATAATTTTAAGATATAAACTTAAATATATGCATTTCTAGATAGAGAGGGCTTGGGGACTTTTCTGCTGACTGGTTTGCATTATATTTTTGTTAAGATTTTTAAAAATTGTGTGTGTGTGTGTGTGTGTGTGTGTGTGTGTGTAGATTTGTGCACATGAGTAAAATGCCCATAGAGGCCAGAACACTGTATCAAATCCCCTGAGCTAGAGTCACAGGGGGGTGTGAGCCACCATTGTAGTTACTAAGAACTAAACTCACGTGCCCTGTAAGAGCAGTGGGCTCTTTTAACTGCTAAGCCATCTCTTCAGCCCCTTGGTTAGTTTCGTAATGTCTCCTAGGGCAAGTGGCAAATACAAAAATCTTCCCCAAAGTCAGGAAAGCCAGAAATCTAGCTGGCAGAACCACCACTGAGCATCAGCTCAAATGCAAAGGGGTGTGCTCTTTTGGCCCACATGCTCAGGTCTAGGCACCCCTAGACCTAGTTCCAGGGTGGAACTCACTATGTAGACATGGCTGGCCTTGAACTCAGAGATCTGCCTGTTCAAAGGCATGTGCCACCACCCTAGCTAGGCTAATTCTTTTGAAGCATCATGAATGTGTTGTATTAAATACGACTTAAGAAATAAAGACTGTTACCATAAGCCAGAAGCTTATGGGTACCTAATTGTGCTCCATCTAATACTGGTTTGTCTTAAACCCGGGGAAGCTTTTTTAAAAAAACAAAACAAAACAAAATACCAGCATGGAGTCGTCTCTTTGTCTACTGAATTCTGTGTGCTGCTGTATCTATTATTTTTGGAGCGGTAGACTGAGGCAGGATCTTTCCGCATAGCCCAGGAATGCGCCATCCTCCTGGTGTGCAGCCTGAAAGAACTTCTGCTTTCCTCACTTGAGCCTTTGGCTTTTCAGTTTCACAAAGACGGAGGA